CCGACGGTAGTTGGTCCCCAGGTTGTCCTTCGACGAAACTGGGCCAGGGGTGCACGGGAACAAGGTAGAGAGAGGTAGGAAGAACGGGTGAGATTGGCAGCGATCGTAACGCACTCTCGCTCGTGTGTACGCGCAAAGGTGACACATATTTCGAATGTTGACGGGCAGCGGTTCACACCCATGTCGCAACTGGTCCTACTATTTTCGATCGGTTTTCTTCTATTCGACTTATTTCGAAGGGCCGTGGCGCGGAAACTATGTCAACAATACACACCACTGTATATTTCGCTGAGGTTTAGCACACCATGCACATGAGTTCCGTCATCGTTTTAGAGTAGGCCGACCAGGGAGAGGGTCACCGTACCGAGGGCAAAACGACACACAGCGAAACGCACAAGGGTTTGTGACTACAGTTTTGGNCGGAAACTATGTCAACAATACACACCACTGTATATTTCGCTGAGGTTTAGCACACCATGCACATGAGTTCCGTCATCGTTTTAGAGTAGGCCGACCAGGGAGAGGGTCACCGTACCGAGGGCAAAACGACACACAGCGAAACGCACAAGGGTTTGTGACTACAGTTTTGGCTTGGTGCGGAGAGTGCAACAATAAATCTGACATGAGTGTATCGTTGTTTATTGTGTGTCTCACCGCGACAACTTGCATGTGTAGTTTAGATGATCGGGGGGAAACACGGTGGGGGATCGGCGGTCTACTTTATTTTCTTCGCAACATGTTGGACGCCCTGGGGCCACCTATCTCTAAAGCTGTTCCCACCCGTGGTGTTATGTTGCTTTTTTGAAGGGGGAGGGGGGAAACGCCAGCGAGTTGCCGCCAAGGGCAGCACTTAACGCGATTGAGCACTTGTTCAACACTGCTGTTGTCCGCATAGTACATGTATGGTGATCGGGGCACGTGACATTTCGAAATTAAATGTAGTGCGGCAGTTCCATTGATGTGCGGACAAAAAACACGAACATCAAACCGCTAGGCACCGCGTTCGATGCTCACGACAACACACCAGACACGGGCGCATGTGGGCGTTTTCTACAGAAACATACGCAATATCACTGATTATTACTCTCGTAAAACCGACTACTATTCTTGAGAAAAAATCTGTTCAATATCCTCCGTGTTGCTTCGTGTTCGGCCTCGCTTCTTCATTTAGTATTGCCTACGGGAGTTGTTCGTCGGTGGCTTCTGTGGCGAAAGGTACGTGCACTACTCACCACTGTACACACGGTAGTAGTTACGCCGCCGACGCCAACCATATTTTTCTCGGGAGGGCGTGGTTGCAGTCGACTGCTCGTTCACAGCAGGGCACGCCACAAGAGAACAGGAAAATACCCTACACGGAACGCAACAAAAAAAAATGCAGCGCGGCATCGNGCCGCCGACGCCAACCATATTTTTCTCGGGAGGGCGTGGTTGCAGTCGACTGCTCGTTCACAGCAGGGCACGCCACAAGAGAACAGGAAAATACCCTACACGGAACGCAACAAAAAAAAATGCAGCGCGGCATCGGTACTGATGCCGCTCCAAGCACGTACACAAACAAGATCACAGGCAGACACACCTGTCCCACACGGGGTTGTAGTATTTCTTGATTTCGCGCAGGATTTTGTCGAACCGCTTCCACAATTTTTCGTCGTCGGTGAAGAGGACCGCGCTTGCGTTACAGTAACATGGGGTAGGCAAGTCGAACAGCAGTCGAACAGCAGAAGCAGCAAATCAAACATGTGCAATGATCTATCCGAAATATACCTGCTGCTGGATGACGTGCTGTAGACTACAAACATTGCTCTCCATGCCTCTCAATACGAGTACCACAAATGACACAAGATACCACACCCCCTGGACCGATTTTTCAAAGGCCCATTCCTCAACAGCAAAAGATCACAGTGACAACAATGGCGGCGTTGAAGCTGTCTCATCGAGAGCTTTCCGAAAATGCACCGTTCCGTTCGTGCATCCTCTTTGTCGTGGAGGAATCGAGCTTTGAAAATCGGTCAAGGGGTTGTGGTATCTTGTGGCATTTACGGTAATGCTCCAGGAAATGGGCGGGCCTCGGTTGCCATACAACTGAGGCTCGAAAGGCTACGCACAGAATGGTACACTGGTGTCGGGTTGCATCCTGTGGTTGCCGCTCAAATGATGGGTCGTGACAAGGTATCCTACAGCAGCATGTTGGTTCCTCTTGCTGCTGCAGCTGATCGATAATTCGGGTGGCTCAGTTGTGTGTGATGGGAGTGTAGAGCAGCTCGGCCATGACGGGCCGTAGGGGTAGGTGAAGTCGTGCAGACGTGTTGGAAAACGTGTCGTATTAATGGGGGGCGTGCTTGAGCTCATCATTCCATCACGGCATCAAGTTACGCATAACGCTCAAAAACCCAAAACAAATCTTCATGAATCTCCGCCAATCTACCACACTCCCAAGGAAAACATAAAGAAACTTCTTGTTCCTCCGTAGTTCGTCACTGCAATACCCGCATATGTATACGCAATATACCACCCGCATGCTATGCTACGAGTATATCGCATAGCCCCCCTGCTCGTATGCATCGTCATGCTTCGGGAAAATATCATAGTCATCCTTCTCATACCAGTTCATCCCAAAACACAATCAAAACCAAGAAAACGAAAATACTTCAGACACGACAAAAGTATCCAAATAGCATACCAACACACGCCAATCACTCTCGCTCTCTTCTGAAAATTCTCAACTCAAACTCTTTTCATCCAGAAAAATATGACGAACGCCGTTCAAAGACGCCTTTCGTTTCACCGCCAATTCGTCACAATATCTCGGTGCGTCTCTAATTCCGCCTATCTAGATGTCCACCATTACCAACATGTATGCAATCCTAAGACAAATTATTCCATTCATCCACCAAACCTTCGTCCGCAGGGAAAACGCGAAGAAGTATGGTCCGTTCGGGCAAATATTCACAATCTTGTTTTTCGCGATATCTTTCGAAAAAAAAACGATTTGGAAAGTGAAACAACTTTGGGCGTGACCGCGGCGTCCAGCTTCGTCGATATCCGATGAGTTTTTGGTGAATGGGTGAAATGCGACATTTTTGACCAAAATACACCACGACCCCCCCTCAACCCCTCCCTTCTACACGTATATGCCTTCAGAACATCAGTTAAACCGTTGTCAATCCATATTTACATTATTTACACGTTACATATGTACATACATACATACA